AACCGATCCCCAAGAAGAACCGCAACATGTTATTCACATGATTGTCGGAGGGGTCGATATTCCCAAGGGCCGGTGTTAAAAAGCACCAAGGTGTCGATGACAAGGGAGAAGCGAACTCGGGATTACATACGAGAAGGAACCTTGTCCTTCAACGACGAGGACGCAAAAGGGATCATGCAGCCCCATAACGATGCACATGTAATATCTGCACTCATGAATAAGACTCAAACGTGTNTATATACCCTCAATTTGTACCAAGTTATATTGCGTATCCTTAAAACCGCGTATAAATTTCGTTGTTATCCGTTTTTCGGGTAAACAAAACTAAAAATGGAATGGATCAACTCAAAAATTCAAGATGCGTGAAATTAAGTAGTCATTTGTTATTTGTATTGTCAGAAGCTTCACGGGTTTTATCCCCCACCCCACCCCCACCCAGCACCCAGCACCAGAAAACACGATAACTGATCGTAGCTACCTATGAACAAGGAGATGAGTCATCAGGTGCTATTTTTCTTTCCCAAGAAAAAAGAAATTGCAAATAAAAAATACTCTCTAAATATTGTTATTAGTAAGAAGTACATGGAAAGCACATCTAAATTTGACCTAGTCTAGTTTGGATCTCAAGACTTATATGCCAATATGTCAATTACCAAGGACAATGAAAACTTTGTGCCACTCATAAAATAACATATACGTAGTAGATCAAAAGAATCCCAAGGATTCTTTCATTTAATATGCCAGAAAATTTTTGTTTTATTTTACTTCTTCGTATATTCTAATCATCGGATGAATAATATATTATCCTAGTTGTTTGGATATGCCTCTGATTTAATTTTAGAAAAAGAAAATCCATATAACAACTAACAAACAATTGTTTTATATGGATAGCCTTTTTAGTTTAATTTCTTCTAGAGAAAATAATTTCTAATAGGGCTGTTGATCTAACAAAGCAGGTTGATTTTATATATTTTTTCGGGTACAAAATGTAAATAATTTTTGACGGAGACAAAAAGTAATAATACCTATTTAAAATTTAGATCTTTTTGGATTATTCATAGCCGAGAAAAGAATACTTAAAGAATTCATCTTATAATCATTTATAGAATACGTCTTGGAAAGACATCTCCTAATTAAAACGGCGATATTAGAATCTTATGCTTCTAGAGTTTATTACAAATTTGGCCACTAGCCCTTATTTTTCACTATATATGTAGTTACTATAACAAAGAGTTGGTAGCATGTAGTCCCTTCTTTGTTTTTAAGGGCCGAATGTTACTACTCATTATCTGCCAGTTGGCCTTTTTGTAATAGTTTCTTGACATTTTCAGCTGGCCTGAATTATCATGAATTAGTTACTCCACGGGAAATACTACAGTATATTCATATTATTTATCTTTTAAGATTTTTTCTATCATTTAAAAAAGATATTCAATATCATAGCTATAAAAGTCAAATTATCATTTATTTCTCTCTCAAACGTCTCAGATACTCCATTAAACAAAGTAGTTGGGTGAATTTGAAGAGAAAAAAAACATCTAATGTTTAAAATATCAAATATTTTGGAAGAAACTCAATTTACCAAAACGGAAAATAACATGGACCGGGATAGAAACATACTCCTATAATTAACCTTAAAGAAAAAAAATTAAAAATTAAAAAATAAGAGTATCATGTTATACAAAATACACTTCTCAATTATCTATCATCATAAGGTTGAAAATCGTATTCACGGTTAAGAGGTGGAAGGCGGAAGGTCATCATAAATTAATGACGGTGAAATCTCAAAGTTTCGATGGGAACATGAATTGATTCAAGTATTTTTAAAGTGCAACAGTAAAAGGAAAGTGTCATTAGCTTTTTTCACACGTTGGAACCTACGTGAAGTGTGGTTGAGCCAAAAAATTTATTGGAAAAATCAAACTATAAAGAAATAAATATACTAGAAAAAGTCAAAAAGATTCAATATATATAGTTTATAAAATAATTATTTAATTATTCAATATAATTTTTCGACGCCAAAAGGTTTTAACAGTAGGATGATGATTTCATATCCTACCGAAAAAGGGTCCAAATGGCCTAATGTTAAGTGATTACTGCCCTTTTTATCCAACACAACGATGTTGAAATTTGAAGCTTAGATAGTCTTCAATACGTGGCTTTGTAACTTTCACCAAATCTCAGTGATATAAATATGGTAAGTAGCCCAGTGGCCGTCTCCATTCACAAGCATCCAAGCTCGAGCAGCTATATATGTTAGACCAAATGGAATATGACACAATATTGACATTTCTATTTGGTACAGAACCAAACATGAAAGGGAAATTTTGGAGGACTAGATTCAAGGCTTTATTTCATCTTGTTAGTGGTTTTGTTATTGCTGGTCGAACGTGAATATTCCATAAGTGTTTGGGCATCTAAAACGGCCACTGGAAATACATTAATTTTTGAAAAAAAATCTTATCGTTGTGCCGTTGCTCCCTTTGGAAGATATATAAATCCTTGAATTATAAATTTATTTTTCAGTATCTTAGCTTTTCATAGTTGTTGTTTTGCTTGGATAATTTGCTGTTAGCCACTTCAAAAAGGTAGGAAAAAAGATGAATGTGAAATTGATGAGGAATGGTATGAGAGGATTAGAAAGGAAAAAGGATTACAAAGGAACCTAAATTGGACCACAACATGCCTAGCACATGAAAAGTCATGAGAGCTCCAAACCAAAAGTTATTTCCAATATGTTACTATGTTATACATTTTGAACAATTATATTGATTCATCATATTTTTTTCGTTTGTTGTTTTTCAATCGATCCTTGAACTAGAATATAAACTCTCAATTTGCTAAGGACCACATAGTTTATTAGAAAGTTAATTATAACATGCACCTAATTTGAACTTGCTCACTCACTGCTTAATCTTGAGCCCTGTGATAGCATTATGATCTATAAATATTCTTTAGCATCCACAGTTTGCAAGATATTCTTGTAAACTTGAACAGAAATACTCTTAAAAACTAATAATATATCTTTAAATACCATAACTATAACAATGCAGTACCTATTAAGTTCTACACACTAGCTAACAATGAATAAAATTTTAATACCATCAGATTAAGTTGACCTACAATAATATAAAACGACATGTTATACATATCCAATTAAATTTCATTTACAGTAAAAAAATTATTTATGATCAGTATATGTATCGTAAGTTTTTTAATAATGCATAGTATAGTTGCCTCCAAAGCAAAGCAATCTCACTAACATACTTTGAAGAACCCATGCTTGTAGGGCATATATAGCATTGATTTGATTTGGATGTTTTGATCATTCATCAGAAAATATGTGTAACCCACAAGTACAAATTATATAGTGAGTATTGTAGGGTCAAAAGTACTTTAAATGAAGTATTTCCTATCAAAGTTAGGATCCCTCTCTACCAACATCCCATGTGATTAAAAAAATTTTTCCTCCAATCCCTCATGTCTCATGCTCATGCACTTATATATTCATTAGTATTCAACACTGGTCCTCTGCTAGATTCTCTAACAGCTACCTTTAAATTATTGTCCTCATGTGTTTAATAACAAAACTTATTCTCAAATGAAGGCAAATAATAAACTATACTAATTAATAACTTAAACAAATAGTGACCTCTACGGGTAATGGCGGAGCTAAGATTTTTAAAGACCGGTCAAAATATAAAGAACTCCGGAAAAAGCCAAGGGATGAATCAAGATAGTGTATATACATTAAAAATAATTCTATCTAAATACATAATGTAATTTTTTGAAGAAGGGATGTCAGTTTCCTTGAGTATATGTGGCTCCGCCACGATCTACACACAATAATTGGTAAATACTGCGTTCTTAGTGACGCTAAGAGAAAACGAATTTTCCTTTAAAAAGAAACAACTATTGATATAACCAAGTGTATTGCACAAAATGCATTGTCAATTTTTAGTGACATAACATCAGTTTGAAACATAATATAGGTTTCACAAGTATGTTATTCTTTACCCACCTTTATATTACCTTTTTGCTAATTTCAACTCCGGAGAAAGCTCTTTTGAGGAGAGAAAGATAAAAGTTTATAAAAGGCTTTTGAAAAGAACAAAACAAAAGGTTTATAGCTCAATCAGGTTGGGCTTATTTTGTTTGAAGGGGGAGCTATAGTGTTAGCTATGAATCGTGATAACTTTTGTCTGAACTTTATAAATGTATTAAGAAATTTATCAAATATTTATAAATATTTGAACGTAAATTCAATTATTATTGTATATTAACTTGAAGCCGTTATATGCATTCATAAACTTCAAATTCTAGATCTTTTTTGTCTATTTGTCCCTTCAAAGCTCCCACATAGCTCATATTTTGCCGAATATATGTACATATCTAGAGCCTGAAAATGAGAAGTTATCCTTCTAATATGGCTCGTTTGGTACGGGATAAAGAGACATTTAATTTCAGAATTAAATTTAATATTAGTTTATTTCACATTTCGTTAGGATAAAATCGTAAATTTTATCCCTATAGAAGTTGAGATAACAATTTCGGAATAATTAATTCCGAAATAACTTATTTTTCAACCAAACGACGTCCAAGGAGTCTCCTTATAAGAAGGAGAGCAAAAATATAAAATCCCATTAGGAGTGTAGAGTAACAAAATTCCCAAAACATCTCTACTTGACCATCAAGTCAAAATACACTAGTTGGATTAGACGTATTAGTCGACCAAACATTTTCATCAAGTTTTATTCAAATTTGAGTTGATCAAGTAAAAATATTATGAAAAGATGCAAATTCCTACAATAGTCGTAATTAATTCACAAATTTCTATCCAGCTTTGACGAAAAATTGTAAATCGGCGTTCAATTTTCTGATTTTAATAGTAATTATCTGGTTTTTATATTTTAATTATAATTCTGCAATTAAACCCCCCATTACTCAAACCCGTAACCGTTTTCTCAATAATCGCCGCTCCCCCACCCCCCACCTGGGGGTCCTCTCTAACAGACGCGAATGCCACCCAACTCAACAAAACTGCTCAACAGCTTATATCACATTCACACACCCCCAACCCCACAAAACCACCCACCCTCTTTCTCCCCACCTCTGCTTCGCTCTTCTCTTCTCCATTAACAAATCTGTTCGGGGAGAATAAGTTGCAGAGTAAAAAAAATCTAGAGATAGAGAATATTGCTCTTCCTGTTTTCTCTCTCTATATATAGATATATAGATATCATCTTACCTATATATACACATATTCACCTTCAGATATAGCTATATTTTTGCACCTATAAATACACACACAAATATACATACACTCCCTTGGTACAGAGGTTTTGCGTGATAACAGATCTCGAGATTCGAACGGAGGAATTGCGCATTTTCTATTCGAGAAACTGTAAAAGAAATTCAACTTCGTTATTGCAATTTTTTTGCTTAGTACATATCGGCTCAGTTCTGTTACTTTGAACTGTTAGCATTTCCATTGACGGAGGTCTGCTGCTATCGGAGGAGTTGAATGTGATGCAAATATTGTAGAGAAGAGTTTTTTAGTTTCGGTATTATGGAGGATAGAGGAGGATCGTTCGTGGCGGTGAGGAGGATATCTCAAGGACTTGAAAGAGGCAATACTTGCCATTCAACTTCTGGTATATTCCTTTACCTAACAGTACAAACATTCGCTCATTTCTCTCTCTCTCTCTATCTCTCTATCTCTCTCTATCTCTCTGTTTTGTGGCCTCAAAATTTGTGTATTTCTATCTGTATGTATTACCGATTGGTCTCTATCTATGTCAGGAGTAAATTTATACTATTGAAGTTTTGGATCTGTGAATTGAAAAGTGAGTTGCATTCATGCCTACTTGCATTGATATTTGTGGTGAGTTTGCATCCGCTGCTTCCTCTTTTTTCCCTGAATTTTGGCGTGACGTGTCCTACCTTTTGGATAATCAGCAGATTCATGCATTTGTTATGAACAGATTGGTTTCATAGAGTTAATATGTGATTCACCAGTACTTAAGTCTACTGTAGATAAAGCTGCCCCTGCCCTGGAGCATATTTTGAACACGTCTGCATACCTTAAGAGGAAAACTCTTTCCGATTTAGCAACAGAATATGGTTGTGTAGAAGAAAAATATGTAGTATAATTAATCATTCAGGTGCTGAACCACGGCTATATTCAATATTTTAAAACCTTTCGGACATTTAGACAAGCTATATACCAAATTCTAGCTAGACCTTTGAAGCTAATTGCTATTCATCTGTGCGTAGCTCATTTTTAGAATTTTGGGTAACATAAAATGACGTGATATTGGCTTTTTCAGCTTTTCTGGAACCATTCATTCCATTTTATTGATTCTGAATGTAGGTTTATCAAATTGTACAACTAAATGTTTTTATAAACAATTGAAAATATTATTTGCCCCCGTATATTTGCCGGAAACAGTCTGCTAATATGCTGTTGATTGTATCCACATAGCGTGATGAGTTGTTTCCCTTAGTGCTTAATTAAAAGTCTCATGTTTTTTATCAGATCAGATACTAGAAAGGATACATATGTAATCATTGAATGACTAAGTCAAGCAGGAAGTGTCCTTTACAATTTCTACTGTGTTACTACAGCCCATGATGTTTAGGATGTATCATAGGAACACACAAAGCAAAAATATCATAAGAACACATTGTATGTTTATTTCCTTTATCATGCCATGTGCTATAATTTATCAATTGCATGATGTGATTCAGCTAATCCTTGTTGCTTAATTGTGTCATTGTTGAGTGTTGACAGTATACTGAGAATGACTAAAAATTTCTTGTCACATGTGAACATGTCTTTAGATAGAAGTTCTTCTCTATCTGGCATCTGTATCATCCTTGCTCCAGTCCCACTCATAATTGAAGCATGTCATCACTGAAAAATCTGGAATTCCCATTTTCTTTATACAATCATTTTATTTTGTTACAGCGGAGGTTGTGGCAGGATCAGCAGCGTGGCTTGGCAGAGGCCTTTCATGTGTTTGTGCTCAAAGGAGGGAGAGTGATGCTCGTCCGTCGTTTGATTTAACTCCAGCCCAGGTAATATGTTTGTGGAGCTTATATGAAGTTTAAATGTCCTGCTTGCTGAATGCTAAAATTGTCATAAAACACAATGTAGTAGTATGCATTTCAGATCTACTTGTTCTTTTCCTGTTGAACTTTTTGTATTTCTTGGAATGACTCTCAGAAGTCCTGTTATGTGAGTTCGTAGTTTGTATTTTTCAATTTTGTTCTTACTTTTCTTGTTGAGTTGGACAAATGTGTCATTTTGTGCATCCAGATATGTTGTGCTCTTTATTTCTAGTTATGCCATGTCTTAGGCACAAGTGTTTTGTCCAAATATTCCGGCTTTCTATTTTAATGAGATGGGCCACAACTCTCTAGTGGGTGTCTGGCTGTCCACGCTGTCAAATTTTCTTGTTTTTTTATTTCTAATGTCGTGCAAAAGAATAGCTTAGCCATGGTAAGGAAGTTTGGAATGTCTTTGACATATTGGATGCTACTGATGCTTTATCTCACTTTGTTAATGTCAGGAGGAATGTCTGCTAAGGCTACAAAGCCGTATAGATGTTGCATATGATAGTTCAATCCCTGAACACCAGGTACTTTCTGTGTAAGACATGTAAGTGTTTTGCAATAAGGTTATGAGGTGATATCTTTAAGACTTTAACATTTCATTCAGGTTGTTTCCCACATTCTCATTCCTCAACTTTTCTCTTTGTTTTTTACCTAAAGGAAGCTTTAAAAGCTTTATGGAAAGCTGCCTTTCCTGAGGAAGAACTTCGTGGTTTAATATCTGAACAGTGGAAAGAAATGGGCTGGCAAGGAAAAGATCCTTCTACTGACTTTAGGTACATCAGCACCTCACTCCGGCCAGAAAAAAAAAGAAGATATTCTCGAGCTTATTCAACATCTTTCTGATTAATTTCCCGTTTCTGCCTATTGCAATCTTGGGTCGTTTTTAAGCTGTTTGATTGATTCTGTAGGGGTGGTGGATTTATATCGCTGGAGAATCTGTTATACTTTGCAAGGAACTTCCCGGTATGTCCTCTTTCCTCACTCTTTTGTGGGAGAAAGCCAAATTTTCTAAGCAAACATGTACTTACTTGTAAGAATGAGAACATTACTTGGAAAAGCTAATGTTTAGTGTTGAGATTTACTGTGATTTTGTGGCTATTGCAGACCCGACAGGTCTAGGTTTTTTTTCTAAGCAGCTCTTATGAATTTGCATCCTGAGATTGTAGCTATTCAGATTGTTGTGTTACACCTGAGTTACTTCACTACTTCTGCTGCACGTTTTTCTTTCCTTATGCACAGAAAAGATATGATTTTTAATTACTTGCTTAACCCTGAAAATCATGATAGTTGTTGGAGGGATGGGTTCCCTGATGTGTGGATGATCTCTGTATTCCTTTCTAGTGTTATACATGCAGGCACCTAGTCATTTCATGGTGATAGCAGCATATAAAATTTGTTGAAATAGCTGGAAAAAGTATTTCTGTCGTTAATTATTTAGTGCTAACGGGTGAAATGTACAGTAATGGGATAAATTAGTCCGAATGCTTTATAAGTTGGTTGACCAAGAAGGTAAAAATGGCTTTACTGTTATGCATCTCTTTGTTTCTTGTAAAAGTGGATAACTTTTTGATAGCCAGATTATGAAATTGCTACTCTTCACGTGCTCTTTTACATTATTTGACATTTCAGATCCTTATTGGCTAACAATATTAGCAAAATTGTAAGAAGTCTATGTGAAGCGATAGTCTAGTGGTAAGGACCTTTCTCCTCCAACCATTGGAGATTCGAGTCACCAATGGAGCGAGGTGGGAAAAGATCATGGTTGTGTTCCTGGGTCTTCNTTTTTTTTTTTTTTTTTTTTTGGGTGGGGGGGGGGGGGGGGTACCCTCCCTAACTTTTGCTGGTTCATATATTTTGTTTGAAAGTTGTATATTTAAGGCCCTCAAATTAGCACAAAGCTATGCCTTCGACTTCAAATCTAACTTGGTAAATTATTTGTGATGTTGGATTGCCTGATGTGATGCAGTTAGTTTATGTCATATTTATCATTTAATTTAGAAGTTAAGTGTTTATCAATTACTTTGCTCTATGGTAGACCTTGAAGATAAACACTTAATGGATGATAAGCATTCTTGCATAAGTCTTGTTACGCGGCGCCTTCCTGAAGTTCCTTGGAAGGGCGACGTAAGGCTAGGCAACCGATGTCAGTACGGTTGCTGTCCGCCAACTGAGGTCCCCTCCGTACGCTAGACTAGATTGTCAGTGCCGTACGGGAAAACCAATGTCATGAGCAATTGAAAGAGAGCAGAAAAGAGAATTGAGAATGAAAGAAAGCTTGATTGCATTGAATGAAAGCTATTACAGAAAACAAGACGGTGTCGGGGGGGAGAGACACCAGTACAGAGAATTGTTTGCTTGCTTGAAAGTTTTGATTGCTTGGTCCCCCTTAATAATGCTTAAAAAAAATAAACCAAAGTTACATGACTAGACCTATGAAAGCTGGAAAATCACACTTAAAGAAAATGCAGCAAAACTACTCTATATTTACAATGAAAAGGACTTAGTCTTCTACAAAGCAGCAGCAAGTCCGTTGGCAGCAACTTTGTCTTTAGCATCAGGGTCTGCGCGCGCGGCGCTGTTGGCTTTTGCCTGTGGCTGGGCGCTGGCGATGGCTATCGGTGGGGCGACAGAGGCACATGCGCGCTTGTCACTTGGAGCTGCCGAGACCACGGGGCCGACCGTGGCGACGGGCGTTGGGAGGCTGGCCAGGACGCCACGGGGCGCGTCCAAGGGATCATGGGGCATGGCTGGAAAGCCGCCCATGACAGTCTATATGATAAACTTAAATAGATTTATCAGATACTTCTCAGAAAAGACTGAACCAAGACAGTGAGCTCACAGCTTAAGATGTTAACGAATTTCTGAAAATAATTCTGCTAAATTGCAAATTTTATTATCTTTGAACAACCGACTTTGTGGATGTGAGGCCTTCAAAGTTGCACAATTAAATTAGAAATGTGGCCCTATAATTCTGGCATCCATGAAACAACAAAACTGGTTAGAGCTGCTCTGCAACTTTACATAATCTACTTCATTATATGTGAAATATTTGAGTGTGTCTATTATTAGTGATAACATGTGACTTTGTGCTACTCAATGTTGGTGAAAGATTCACGAAGGCGTGATGTTGCTTATGATCCTTTAAATCTAGCATTCATGAATAAAAGATACAACAATTTTGTCTACTGCACCAACAATTATTAAAAGAAAAAGCGCATTATCTTCTTGATATTATGTGAAATAATCGGAGTCTATCTACTGTGAATGACGGGTTCTTCAGAAGTAAGATAACTATATTTAGTGTGGAATGTAAAATATATCATATTTAACAGAAAATAAATATTTAAAATCTTTCGCACTTAGTTAAAATGCTTATGCGACACTCAAGCATTATAAAGTTCTAGATCCATCTATTTATTCTCTTTTCCTAATTTTATTTGCAGAAATCTTTCCAGGATCTTCTCCGAAAGCAGGAAGGTGATAGAGCAATTTGGGAATACCCATTCGCTGTTGCTGGTGTCAACATCACATTTATGCTTATCCAGATGCTCGATCTGGAAGCTTGTACGTGTACCATCTACTCTCTTTTATATGCTGAAAATTATTGAAGTCTTAACCAAAATTCCAGTATATATGCTTCTGAATTAGTCCATCTAACAAAAAAATGAGATATGAGTGTTGTTACAACCAGTTTCATGTTTGCCAAAAAGCAGTGTTCTAGGACTTGTGAATCTAAATACTTGTGAAACAGGAGTTGTTAGAATGCAGACTCTCTCATGCACAAGTATATATACAAACCAAATATACTTAATTTTCCCTGGAAGACTTGTTTCGAAATCACTTAGTTAATTGTGCTTTAACTCTGCAGTAAAACCCAGAAATCTGGTGGGAGCTACTTTCTTGAAGTTTCTTGCAGGTAAATTTTTTACAAGATGTGTCTCTTCTTTCAGGTGTTGCTTAACTACTGTTAATTTCTTTTTCATTTTGATGCATTCAGTTATTGTGTTTAGATGCGCCCTTTGTGTTCCTTTACTGATCTTCTGTGTTGAAAAATGAGAGTCGGTGAATTCCGGTTTAGTTCTTTAGAAATGTGAAGTTTAACTTGCACCTTTGCTCCTCTAAGCAAGATGTTTCCTTTTTGCAGAAAATGAGTCAGCTTTTGATCTTCTATATTGCATCACGTTTAAGTTGATGGATCATCAGTGGCTTGCCATGCGAGCATCATATATGGACTTCAATGTATGTACTTTTGGCTTCCTGATATTTAGTTAAGTGTTTGGAGTGTTCAAACTGTGCTTATGTCTTATCCAGTTCGTTTGCGTTTGAAAGAGTTTTCATGCCTCTTTCACTTAAATGTTTTTCTTAGTTGTTTCACTTTGGCTAATGTATCTTGATATCAAAGAAATGTGTATTCCTTGGCAACAGAGCATAGCTGCAATTCTACTTACTGTCGCTTTTGGTATGAAGCTCTGTAAGAATGTTTCTGTGTTCCATGTTTGTTAACTCTTGCTGTCAGCTGTCTGTATTATCTTATCTAGTTTACTTGTATTATCTTATCTAGTTGTTTACTTGTTTACTCTTCATACTACATTACTTCTTGTTAAGTAGGAGGCCCTGCATTCGTGATTTTATATAATGTAATTTGTTCTTGCAGACGGTCATGAAGGCTACTCGTCGTCAACTAGAAGAGGAGCTTCTGCAAGAAGACATAACACGGCTGGAAGATTTACCCTCATACAGCCTTCTTAGTCGATAGTGTTTGTAGTCGTGACATTTAAGAAAATGAAATGGCTTTTGTATGCAAGTTTTGAGGCATCTATTGGTTTTGTTCTTACATTAGTAGCTTTCGGTGGTGGGTGTTACTTTGTAGAAGTCAGCGGGGAGGAAATATGGGGATTTTACAGTGCCTGAACTTGGTAATGTAAGAGCAAGTACAACGTACCCTTGTGTCTTGAATTTGGTAAGGGGCAATACTGCTGAGTAGTCTCAATACTGGTGGTAGGAAATCGAAGAGTTGTCCTTCGACTACCTTTTTTGTTTAAGCAAATCGAAGGTGGTACCCGTCGATCAGCTCTGACAGAGACTTTAGACCAAGACGTACCTGTGTAAACTAACTGATCGGTGGATATTGGCATATCTTAAGCTTTAACGTGTGGCCTATGTTCATCTTATCTCGAATACCATTTAGTATAATTTATATTACCGCAATCATATGATTGAACGGTTCCAGTTGTTGCCCGCCAGCCCATTTGTGAAGTGATGGCGTAGTATATGAAACTTTAAAGGAAAAGGGAGAATCGGTCCCTTTCCCAAAATAGAGTTTAAACCAGCAAGCATTGAACTTGCAAACGGATGTGTCTGCACCTTTTGACAATCTTTGGATGATTTTGAAGTGTCAATACCTATTTGATTGAACTGGATTCCCCTACGATACGTCTATTATGCACCAAATTAGTCACCTTCGTTTTATCGAGAGGATTCAATTTGCAGAATTGGTAACGTGACAGCCACCTCCCGGTCTGGTGAAGAGAGAATGGAAGAGCCTCTCAGTAGGGCAAGCACAAAATACCTCGTTCGAGTCCCCGGATGAAGGTGAGACCAACCTTATTATGATTAGCGAAGTCCTTTCCAACTCCGTCGAATGGTTTCACTCCTCTTTTCCCCTTTTGTCAGTTCCTTGTCAGTCAGTCGACTCTCCTCCCTCAAAAGATTGTCGAACTTCACCTTCTTCACTTTCGGCACGGGCGCGGACTCCGCGATCTCTGGGTCGCCGAGGTTCCTTTTCTT